TTGAAACTCATCTCTAAGGACTAATCCTCCTAATATGTAGAGTTCCTGGAAATGGATATTAAAAAAAACCAGCAACCCCATAGAACAAAGAGTGGACAACAGAGTAAATACAAATAGCTCTGAAACATAGGTGAGTTCCCTAACCTCTTTCATGATCAGAGGAGTGCAAAATAAAAGAAGGCATTTTCACCTGATCAGATTGGCAAAAGTTCCAATGTTTGTTAACCTATCATGTTGACAAGGCTATGGAGAACAGACATTTATGCCATGTTGCTGGAGGGAGTTTGGACTGACAATCCCTATGAAGAGCAATTTGGTAGTACGTAAGAATTTTTTTTTCCAGACATAATTTGTCAGCCTTTGGCCCGGCGCGGTGGCTCAAGCCTGTAATCCCAGCACTTTGGGAGGCTGAGGCGGGTGGATCACAAGGTCGAGAGATCGAGACCAACCTGGTCAACATGGTGAAACCCCATCTCTACTTAAAAAAAATACAAAAAATTAGCTGGGCATGGTGGCGCGTGCCTATAATCCCAGCTACTGAGGAAACTGAGGCAGGAGAATTGCCTGAACCCAGGAGGCGGAGGTTGCGCTGAGCCGAGATCGCGCCATTGCACTCCAGCCTGGGTAACGAGAGCGAAACTCCGTCTCAAAAAAAAAAAAAAAAAATTGTCAGCCTTTATTAATCAAGAGTAAAGCCAAGCCCTAGAGTTTCCTTAACAAAAACAAAAAGAACATCAACCTTATTTATGGCAAACAGACTTAATTCTTAATGACTGTTCATTATATTTTTAACACCACAGAGCAAGAATCGATCTCTTTTCAATCACTTATTCTGAGATTAAAATACAAGTTTAAAACCAGTTAAAATAAAATTCACCCCAATGATTTAAAAAATAATTCCAATGAAAAGACATTTCAAACACTATATGTAGAACTCAGGAGCAAAAGAAGACCATAAAACATTTTTTACCGTTGAGGTAGCACAATAACGCTGAATAGGATTTCTTTTATTACAGTGAGCTTAAAAAAAAAAAAACACGGAATCTACCCTTTGCTCAAGATGGGCTAAATGGGTTTATGAAAGCTCCCATGAGGTTAGTGACTGTTCTTGTCCTTTTTTTTTTTTTTTTTTAAGTATAAAGATAGCCCTGCAGTGTGTAAAAGGAAACCTGTGGGAAAGCTGCTTCCCGTAAAATAGACAATAGAATAACTGAGGAACGTCAGCAGTTAAGACAGGAGGAACAAGAGGTAATCATAGTGAAAAACTCAACTCAGATCTTGGCAAGACTGGTTTACAAGTGCATGACAAGAACGCAAATTCCAACACCAGCCAACTGAAAATGAAAGAGAGGAGATGACATTCATGAGTCTTCTTACTTTTTCTCTGTGTAAAATGCTCTTTTGTCTAAATGAGAGCAGCTTGTACACTGTGACATAGGCCCTAACAGCACCTCTCACTGAATGCAATTATCACTGTGCACAGAGAAAAGGGGCAATTAGAGGATACACATAACCTCTCCCAGCTGGATAACCATTTCTTGTCCCTTCGCTGCTGAATTCACTCATCAAACTGTTCAAAGGGAGAGCTCTACCCTGATTTCTGAGTCTACAGCAATATACGTAACACAATTATATACGAAGACTATTGACTAACAGGACAACAGCGCATGTCCCTTTTCTTCAGAGAATTCAAGAGAAGAGAGTGGGTGGGATATGCTGGGGGCCAAAAGGAAGGCGCTCAGGAATATTCTCTACCATCCAAAATCAACAGCAAAGCCAGAAATGGGGCATGAGCACTAACTCATCGAAGAGAACAACATAAAATAGTTAACAAAGGGATCTCTTCCCAACACATGCTTCTCTCCATGAGGCTCAGCCATCGGTGCAGGGCTTGCCTGATGTGGACAGTGTGGATACCTCAGCCCTGGGTTGAACTTGGTCTGCCACCTTTTTGCACCCCATGCTGCAAAAAGAATTGGAACGCTGTCAGGTCCTGGCACTGTGGTCATGGCTATCTCCTATTTCACTCACACACGTCCTTTTAAAGTCTCCCTTCCTCAAGCTATTAAATAGAACCCCCTAGGAATCCTGTATACAGTGAAGGTCTGAACTGATGATCCATATGTCAATCAGCAGTTAGAGGAGGATGACTTCTTTTTTTGATGACAGGGTCCCACTCCAGGCTGGAGTGCAGTGGCACGATCATGGCTCACTACAGCTTCAATCTCCTGGGTTAAAGCAATCCTTCCACCTCAGCCTCCTGAGCATGCACTACCAGGTCCAGCTAATTGTGTGTGTGTGTGTGTGTGTGTGTGTGTGTGTGTGTGTGTGTGTGTGTGTGTGAAGAGAGAGGGTCTCCCTCTGTTGCCCAGGATGGTTTGAAACTTCTGGGCTCGAGCAATCCGCCCAACTTGGCTTCCCAGAGTGCTGGGATTACAGGCATGAGCCACCATGCCCAACATGAGCAGGATGGCTTAAACCTGATCAATTCTACTCCAAAACCATCAAGTCAGGGATGTCAAGGAGGGGTCTGTGAAGAGAAAAACAGACTGGGATTGCGCGAGAATGGGATGAGAAGGCCCATCCCTAGCAGACTGCAGGAGTGACTCTGGCATAGAATTCACAGCCAGCCCTAACTAGTGTCATGGGTGGTAGGGAGGAGGCACTGCTCAGTGTTCAAACAAAATCCGCCCAAGTTCTAGGGCTGGATCTCTGTGTCACTCCTGAAACCCAGTGTACCTATTACCTTTGCAAGAAACTGGTATGGTTCTTGTCTGCTTAAGTACAAGGCTTGCTTTCTGAATTTATTTGATAATAAAGTAACACCATGGAGAAAAAGAACCTCAGAAAAATGTGGGATCACCACACGGTCTTTCTCAGGGCTAGCTGCCTGTTTGGGAGTATTAAATATAACCTTTGTCTATTCTGAAAGCTTCAATGTAGGCTACAGAGGGCAGTCTGAAAAGAGGCCTGCTTTTGCTTTGTGAAGCGTAAGAAGAAAAGATAAATTACCAAGGTTGTGGTGGGTTATTTACTTTGGAAATATCTTGGCCACACTGTCCACAGCAAAAGCAGAAAGCCTAGCTTATGTGGACAGTGAAAGGTGACTGTGTGGGCCATCATTATCTACAACAGGAATGACTCAAGCCCTAGCATGTAATCTCTTATGGACTCACTGAGTTATACAAGTTAAAAAACAAAACAAAAAATCATATTGGAATGGGCCTCTTGATTTAATATAAACTTGGTTACAACATTCAACTTTATCTTTATGGAAATTTCACACTGCTCCTAGGAACCCTTACGGCATCTGATTCTAAGTTATTCTGAAGGGAAAAAAATTATTCTGAAATATGTCTTGTTAGGATGATCACTGGAATTCTACCTGAGAGAATTAAAAGGCTAAATGGGTTTTAAATAAAAACAAGCGAAATTACCTTCTTCTGGGGTTGACAATTAGAATTCCAAATACCCCAACATCTTACCTAGAAAAACCTTCACAGTAATTCTATGGAATTGTAAATGATGCCAATTTTTGAAAACAGATTTGATCCTTAGGATAAATGCCTGCATCAGCTGACAAACTCCACATATATGAATATGTCCAAGTTAAATTACCTAAAGAATAATTTTTTCTTTTCCTTTTCTTGAGACAGAGTCTCACTGTGTTGCCCAGACTGGAGTGCAGTGGCAGGATCACAGCTCACTGTAGCCTCGACCTCCTGGGCTCAAGTGATCCTCCCCACTTCAGCCTCCTAAGTAGCTGGGACTACATGCAGGCACCACCACACCTGACAAATTAAAAAAATTTTTTTTTTGTAGAAATAGGGTCTCACTCTGTTGCCCAGGCTGGTCTTAAGCGATCCTCCCACCTCAGCCTCCTAAAGCACTAGGATTATAGGCATGAGCCATTGAGCTTGGCCTGAGAAATAGTTTGTTTTAATTTCAAAAAAATAGCTGCTGCTTCTTTAAGGAGTTTAAAAATTGGCGGGTTCAATGGCAAAGCGACACAAGAACTCTCTGGAGTAGAAGGAAAGAGCTCTCTTTATAGTACAACCTCCTGCCAGCCTACTGCCATTAGCCAGCAGGGCCAACTGCAAACAAATGCTAGGAGTTTCCCAGGAAGGTATTTGGGTCAGACAAAGTGGTAGCAACCCTCCAGATCCTGGCTCCTTATAAATGGATAGGAATTCATTCATGCAAACTGCACAGAGGTTAAACAAAACCTACTGAAAAAAAAATCCCCAACCCAGAAAACCTTTCCTGGCTCTCTACTAACAGTAAAATGTGCTGAGCCCAAATTTTCTGCTCTAACATGGGTCCCACTGACCTATCAGTTTGCTCTGGGGTGCTGATCTGCTGGGTCCTGAGCAGGTCCTGAGATCTGCTGGATCTTTCCCTAAGCATCACTGTGGGTTTGGAGACAGTGGTCAGCAGACAGTACAATGCCACTGGGCCATATATGCCCACCTCATCTGCCACCATTTCCCACTGTAAAACCAAAGGCTGCAACTGTGAACAAATGTGGACTTTCTCAAAGGACAAATGAGGAGACTGAAGGCTACATTTCCTCCTTTCAGAAAGATTAGAGAGTGTCTACACTTATACAACAGGATTCTGTAAAGTTACCCTGTGGTAACTTCCAAAAGCAAGACTAGCAGCAAGAGAGGAAAGCAGCATGTTTACATACAAAGTTTGGACTTTGTATCAGGCACTTAAATTGTTGGAGAGACATGCCGTTCTGAACCAAAGATGTGAGGACTGGGTTGGAGTCATCTTTACAAGTGGTCTCATAATGGGCTTTCAGAAGCAAAGTGGAGGTGTGGGTTGAACCTCTGCCCATCCTTTAGTGCCGACTTTCAAGTTTTCTAAATGCCCATAACCACAGCAACGGTAGCAGTGGTGGCAATGGAAGGAACGGTTCTGTCACGTCTGTTTTCTGTATGTGTTCTGTGGCTGGCCAGAAGGTTTTGGTGTCACACTAAGAAGGCTCTGGGGTGTGGCACACCTACTGCCCGAGGTTGCCCAAATCCATGCTGGAGCCAAACATCTTCACCAGCTGTTCCTCATAGTGTGAGATGTTCCTCTTCATGATGTCCATGCAGGGCCCCAGAAGCCTCTCAAATGCTTGTACATCCATAACTAAGCATTTGACATCTCCAGCTGCATGAGCTGAAGCAGCTCTGGGTTTGTTGGTGACCAGGGCAAGCTCTCCAAAGTGCTGCCCCTTATGGCAACGGGCAATCTCGACCTCCTGGTTTGCACCATCCTTGTTTGATTTAGTCTTGCTTCTAATCAAAATGCTCACTTCACCAGACTCTATGATGTAAAAGCTATCAGCCTTTTCACCCTGAGTGATTATGCGTTCTCCGTCCTTATAGATCTTCTCTCTTATCACATCCACAATCTTCATTCGTTCTGACAACTCCAGTGATTTAAGGAAGGGCACAGATGCAAAAAATGATTCAAACATCTTCCTCTTCTTTGCATTATTTTTCACTATGATTCTTCTAAAAGTCACTCGGTGCAGTCCCCAAAGGGAGCCTTCTGAGGTAGCAACAATGGTAGCAGCTCTCCGGGTGTTGTGCATTAGAGCCAGTTCTCCAAAACTGCCATGGTTGTCATATCGACCAACAGAGCGGGTTTGATTATCTTCTGTTACTAAAATGTCAAAAGTTCCCCGTTCTATGACATAAAAGTTGTCTCCATCATCTCCTTGGTCAATGACATGCTCATCAGCTTTGACTATCCTTTCAAACATGGCATCAAGAAAGCTGTTCCTGATCAAGATTTGTGAAAGGGAGAATATCTTTGCAAGCTTCCTGAAGTCTGCGTCTCTGTTCATCAGTTTTAGGACGGATCACCCTTGGATCTGTATCTGATCTTCCTCATCAGGGTCACAGGTCTCAGCACAGACGGATACTCGTCTATTAAAGGTGCCAGGAACGTCCAAGTCCTCGTCCTCCTCCGACTCGCTGTCCCCGTTGGGGTCGGCGACGTGGTCCGGGCCGGGCTCTGGCGCGGTGTGGCCCGGGCTCCGGCGTGGGGGGGCGCGGGCGTCGCGCAGGCGGGTGAAGTAGTCCACTGCGAATCCCACGAGGTCCGGCGGCTGCTGTCGCAGCACCTCCGCGGTGTAGCCCCGCAGCAGCTCCGTGAGCCCCGGCGGGATCCGGCTGTGGCTCCCGCCGGCGGCGGCCGAGGGGACGGACGGGTCGGGCCCACTGTCTCCGCGCTCACTCACGTCGGCCTTTTGCTCCCCGCCCGCGAGGTCTCTTCGCGCGCGGCCCAGGCTCGGCCTCCCCCGCATCGCGCCGCTCTTTGGCCGGCTCTGCGTTTCCGAGCGGGGCGACCCTCCGCTCCCGCGGCCGGCCTGGCACCGCCGCCGCTGTCACTGGGCAGCCGCTGCCGCCGCGGGGACCGACAGGCAGGCGAGCTGGACGAGCGGGGCGAGCACCCTGGTTGTGATGCACCAGTACGTAAGAATTTTAAAACGCAATGTCCTTTGACCTAGCAACTCCATTTGCTCTGGGCAAGTCGTGATTCTTCTCTGTCCCGTTTGTACCTCTCAGAGTTGTGAGAGTTAAACGAGACACACCTGAAGCACTCAGTACAAAGTTCCTGGCACATAAGAAGTGTTCCCAATATGTTGGCTAGTAGTAGAATAATAGCAGCTAACAGGCATCGAGATCTTACCACATGCCACATGAGCACACCGTGCTTGGTGCTTTTCATGTATTACTTAATCCTCCAACCTGTGAAGGTGCTATTGATTACCACCAGTTAGCCTCTGAGGAGACAGGCGCAGGCATGCAAAGTGTGCTGGGGACAGGATTTGAGCTCGGGCAGATGTGAATCCTGTGATACACTGCCTCTCTGTTAGGTGCAGTGGGGTGATGAGTACCTTACCAGAGGGTGTGGAGAGGGCTGTAGGAACACACAAGCACAGAGCAGCGCTTACAACAAGTGGGGGCCATGTTGATTTTTTGGCGAAAAGATGGCTTTCAGTAGAGGCTGTGACACTCTCAGGATGGGTAATCTTGGGGCAGAGTCGGTTGCTTTCTTTTGTTTTAATCTACTTTCAGCTCATCTCCTGATCTATAATACTAGTGTAGTACAGTTTCAAGGATGGTTGCGAGGATTAAGAGAGATGAACATGCAGGTCCTAGGCATTCAGGTCTTCACAATCTATGCTTGCTGAAGTGACATGAACAAAAGCAGATGGAGGGGGCTCGAGTGAGGAAAAGCATTCTAGGGAAAGGGAACACCACATTCTAAGGCTACACATCCAGAAAGCTTGAGGAATCCGGGAAGGGTGCCTGCAGGATGGGGTGTCTGGTGGCCGGGGTGGCTGATGGCCTTGAGAACCAGCTAAGAAACTTGGATTATTTACTAACAAAAATGAAAGAGTCACCATTTGTTGAGGGTATACAAAAGAGAATCATCTGGAACCGTAGAAAGGCTGCATACAGGGAGGTGACTTGATCAATTTCACGTTTTACAAAGATCCCTCGAATCGTGTTGGAGCGATAGGAAGAACTCTACTGACCTGCCTTGAACTCCATACTTTAAAAAGCATATAACGTTTATCATTTTCTCTTTTACTCCACAACTTATACTCACTGTAGGAAATATTAAAAATATAAGAAAGTTTAAAGAAACAAAAAATTGTTACTTGTACTTTCCAGAGACATCCCAATGGATACTTTTCTTCCCATCTTTGTTTTTTCTATGCAAAAAATACGTAGTTATCAGAATGCCTGGCAGAAGGAAGTTGGGAAGAGATCACTGTGAAGCGTTCTTGATATTCCCTCTTCTACTCCTCTCCATGTTATTAGGGTCATACTAAGAGAGGCTGATTTCCCTCCACGTGTCAGGTAAAGTTTCAACTCTAAGCAGGGAGCCTCGCTTGCCATTTTCGGCGGTCTCTAGGGGGCGCTGCCCCGAGACTGGCCGGGGAAGGAAAGAAGGCGGTGCGAAAACGCGTTTGAACTTGGGCCCTGCCGCTGCCCGTAGCCGGCGCCCGTCCCCAACATGGCGGCTCCCCAAGATGTCCACGTCCGGATCTGTAATCAAGAAATTGTCAAATTTGACCTGGAGGTGAAGGCCCTTATTCAGGTATTGATCCCGAGACCCCTGCCGGGCTCCAGAAGCCCTAACCCAAGCTCTGCTGGTCTATGAGCCTGGCAGTGTCACTCTGGAACTTTCCTCAATTGGTTTCTCAGGTCACTGGCTCCGCCCCATGGCCGGCTACCCCCTGGTCCCCATTTGGTCGTGTCTCCGTGACTGCTGGCCTTGATCCTCCTTTCGAGTGCTGCTGGATCGCCCATTTCCAGAGCGCCCCACCGTTCTCCGCCTCTGATCCGTGCTTCGCGGCTCGGCTTTGCCCCTTCCACTTGCTGCCCTAGTCGCCTCGCCCGTGACCACCTCATAGCATACCTGCCACCCTGCTTGGCCCCGCCTTCCGATATTTGCTTCCCATCACCTAGTAGCGTCCGGGAGGCCGCAAGCCCCGCCCCCTGCCACCTGGCACGGGAGGCACCAAAGTAACGTGGGCGGTCGTTGTGATTTTATGCTTGAGGAAATCGAATGTAGCGCCAAGGCCCAGGTTAGAAGGCAGATCTGGGTCAATGGCAAAACTGGGACCTGGACTGGGAAAGTCAGCCTAGGAAAAACAACTAGAATGTTAATCTGTTTGTATGGAAAGGAAATGAGATGTTTTGCCTTAAGCCATTTAAGGGTAGAGATAAGATAAACGAGTTGATGTAGGCAAGAATTAAGAACGTAGACACGGTTCCATGAGTTTAGCAAAAAGAAACCAAGAGTTTTAAACTTTGGTTTAAAGCAAATAATTTTCAACAAAGTCACTAAACATTAGATGTAGACTCAGAATGAGTTTGTAACAAGGTGTGGCAAAAGTGCAGGAAAGTAGGGCTCCCCAGATAAACCAGATGCAGAATAAACCAAATTCGTAGTTTATCAGACGGTGCAAAGAAGTGTATTTAAATGAGTAAGCCAGAGAAAAATTGAAATTTGATGGAGATATTTAAAACTTAACTGAACTTCACTTCTCTGACATACACATTACAGAACTTCTGGGTCAGTTATAGAAAAATAAACAAGTTTCATACAAATGAAATTGCATTTTCTCTTAATCTAAATTGCTTAAGCACCCTTCTGTACTCTTTCTAACATTTGGGTTTTTGTGATTCCTGATGAGAAAGATTGATTATAGCTGGATGTATTGCACTCTTATTGTGTTCCATGGCTCTGCTAAGTGCTTTACATGCATGTATGATCTATGGTCTGTGAGGTAAGTAGTGTTGAGATGAGGGGGAGAATTTAAACTGAGACAGAGAGAATTTAAATAACTTTTCCAAGTAACTTTACACAACTAGTAAGTTGCTACAGCCAGGATTAGAATCCACATGGTCTGTCTCCAGAGCCTGCTCTGAAACCTGGCACCAGCTGTTGCTGAATCTGTTGCTGAATATTCAGGAACAGATTCTAAATCTGCCCTTAAACATGTCTATATAAACACTCTGACTTATCACTGATGGTTTGTCAAATCATACTGAAGAAGTTAATCTCATCATATGATGCCAGATATTTAAGCATCCTGATCTTCAAGTTGGAAGGATCTCAGGTTCTGAAGTTATAGTATTGCTTTTGCATGTCCATTCGTGTTGGGCATACGAGCTGTTTTAAGCTTTTTCATACTGGCCACATAAGATTTTGTTAAAATTTAGGAACTAAAAATTAGGTAAAAGCAATTGTGTTTCTTTCTAGGCTTTTATAGTAATTCAACATTAATCTAAAGAGGAATGAGAAAAATGTAAATGATAATGTTTTTGCTCATGTTGCAGAGGTAAACAGCAAAGATCAGGATGAATTACAGTCAGTACGTTAATATTAGTTGGTCTAAACCAAGTCTGACTTTATGGATGGTGTCATTTCATTTCACTGCCTTGAGAAAGGCCTCTTATCTGTTCAATTTCTCCTAGGATATCCGTGATTGTTCAGGACCCTTAAGTTCTCTTACTGAACTGAACACTAAAGTAAAAGAGAAATTTCAACAGTTGCATCACAGAATACAGGTGGGTATTCTAAGAACTGAGATGCTGAGTATCTCAGTTCAGCCAATGAGGGGGCTCAGTCCTGGGTATATCCTCTGCTTGAGAGCCGTCCGGGTTCTTCAGATACCAGCTGATGGGAGAAGTAAACACTTAGACAGTGAGGGCGACTCTGTACTAACCTGCTTTCCAGGTAAAAACGAGAAACTTTTGCATGCAGAACACTGCCAGCTGTGTCAACGAGTGGCAGCTTTTTTTTGGGGGGGGGCGAAGTCTTGCTCTGTTGCCCAGGCTAGAGTGCAGTGGCATGAACTCGGCTCACCACAACCTCTGTCTCCCACGTTCAAGTGATTCTCCTGCCTTGGCCTCCCAAGTAGCTGGGACCACAGGTGTGCGCCACCATGCCCAGCTAATTTTTGTATTTTTGGTAGAGATGGGTTTTCAGGTTTTCACTATGTTGGCCAGGCTGGTCTTGAACACCTGATCTAGTGATCCGCCCACCTCAGCCTGGGTTTACAGGCGTGAGCCACTGCACCCAGCTAATTTTTTTTTTTTTTTTTAAGTAGAGATGGAGTCTCACTATGTTGCTTGGGCTGGTCTTACACTCCCAGGCTCGAGCAGTCCTCCAGCTTTGGCCTCTGAAAGGGCTGGAATTACAGGCATGAGCCCAGCCTATTCTGTTTCTTTCAGACAGAATTTGGATCCAGGTTCTAATTGTTTCCAAGTTCAGGATCTAGATTAGAATCAGAAGGTGAAGACCGCAGTTTCATGGGTCTGGGGGCTGCTGAGAAAAAGGCAGGAAACAGGTTATGGACCTGACCATGGAGGGCTCGTATTTTAAAGCCCTCATCTGGGCACCCAAGGATCCTGCATGTAGCTCATGGGTAGAGGGGCCCACAGCGGTCCCTCAAAGTGAATAGGAATGGCCCAGGCCCAGGGCCGGAACTCAGGAGTTGGAAGGATGACTGTGTCTACACATCTAAAACGATGTGTTCATTTGTATCCTGGAATCCTGTGTAGGCTTTCTCCATGAGGACAGGGCCAGGGTTAGCTCCTTGGATTCTAGTTAGCCTCATGAGTAGTCCTACAAACTTGTCATTATTTGGAAAGATTCCTGCCAGCTCCTCTTCATGCCCTTTTACTTGAGACACTAGGCAGTTACGTTAGATTGTTTGTGATTCTTCTTCCTCAGTTTTTCAGATTTGAGATGATTGCATTCTTTTAAGAAACTCTGGATCTCTTGGTTATTCTAAGAGTTGATTACTGTTCTAATGGCTTTCTGGTTTCTTGGTTTCTTCTTCCTTCTTTATTTCCTGAGGGTTTCTAGTAATTTCAATCTGATGTCTCACTTTCTCCATTTTTTAAAACTTATTTTTTATTTTTATTTTTTGTGTTTTTGAGATGGAATCTCATTTTGTAGCCCAGGCTGGAGTGCGGTGGCACAATCTTGGCTCACTGCAACCTCTGCCTCCCAGGTCCGGTTCAAGCAATTCTCCTACCTTGGCCTTCCAAGTAACTGGGATTACAGGCATGAGCCACCATGCTAATTTTTATATTTTTTAATAGAAACAGGGTTTTACCATGTTGGCCAGTTTGGTCTTGAACTCCTCACCCTGTGATCTGCCCACCTCGGCCTCCCAAAATGCTGGGATTACAGGTGTGAGCCACCATGTCTGGCCCACTTTCTCCATTTTTATGCCTGATTTTTCTCCTGGGATTCTTCTCACTGCAGCCACAGGACCTAATGTTGGGTTGGCAGAGAACTAGTACTTATTCTGCCCTAATGGGACCCAGGAGAGTCAGGAGGTACCGGCACGTGAAACATGTTTGCTCCTCTAGACTTTTGGAGGTCTCTTAGAAGTAGTAATTTGAATAGTGGAGATGTTTCCACTGCTGTGCCTTCAGTGAGGGCAAGGTGGGTGTCATGGATCTGCCCATCTGTATTAGTCCGTTTTCATGCTGCTGATAAAGGCATACCTGAGACTGAGAAGAAAAAGAAGTTTAATGGACTTCTGACATGGCTGGGGAGGCCTCACAATCATGGCAGAAGGCCAAGAGGAGCAAGTCATGTCTTACATGGATGGCAGGAGGCAAAGAGAGAGCTTGTGCAGGGAAACTTCTGTTTTTAAAACCATCAGATCTCGTGAGACTCTTTCACTATCATGAGAATAGTGCAGGAAAGACCCACCTCTGTAATTCAATCACCTCCCACTGGGTTCCTCCCTTGACATGTGGGAATTGTGAGAGTTACAATTCAAGATGAGATTTCGCTGGGGACACAGCCAAACCATATCACCATCCCTGGATGGGTCTTGTGGCACCTAGTCTTGTGGTATTGGGGTTTTGTATTAGGCCTTTCTTGCGTTGCTATAAATAAATACCTGAGGCTGGGTAATTAATTTTTTTTTAAACATGGGTTTAATTGGCTCACGGTTCTGCGGGCTGTGTGGGAAGCATCTCAGCTTCTGCTTCTGGAGTGGCTTCAGGAAGCTTCCAGTCATGGCAGAAGGCAAAGAGGGAGCAGGCACTTCACATGATGAAAGCATGAGCAAGAGAGAGAGAGACTGAGTGAGAGGTCACTTATCACCAAGGGGATGGCTTATGCCATCCATGAGGAATCCACCCCCATGATCCAAACACCTCCCACCAGGCCCCACCTCCAACACTGGGGATTACAATTTAACATGAGATTTGAGCAGGGACAAATATTCAAACTATATGACTTGTGCTGTTTTTGGCTAGCACAGTGGCTCATGCCTGTAATCACAGTACTTGGGGAGGCTGAGATGAGTGGATCACCTGAGGTCAGGAGTTTGAGACCAGCCTAGTCAACATGGTGAAACTCCATCTCTACTAAAAATACAAAAATTAATTGAGTGTGGTGGTACGTACTTGTAATCCCAGCTATTTGGGTGGCTGGGGCATCAGAATTGCTTGAACCTGGGAGGTGGAGGTTGCAGTGAGCCAAGATTGCACCACAGCACTCCAGCCTGGGTGACAGAGCCAGATCCTGTCTCAAAAAAAAAAGATGGGCACTTTTCACATAACATGGCCTCCAAAGCCCACCACCAACTCTGTTGTTGCTTAACAGAGGAAGACAGTATTATAAAGCTGGTGGAAAAGCTGGCCAGTCGGACCCCTGAGCAGCAGTATGTCTGTGTCCTGTGTTTTGCCTACCTAAGAGATTTTCAAGGGCAGTTTTGAAAATGTGTGATTTTTGCTATAGGAGTTAACTATAGAATTTTGACAGTGCTGCCATACCTAGCTGACTGCTTTCTGTCTCCATCTCCAGTACTGATTTAATCATGTTAATTTTTTATTTTTGAAAGGATGTTCCTTTTACATATTTTATGTGGGTGTCTGTCTGTATCAACTTTCAGTGAAAAGTCTCAATTACGCCCCAGTTTTGATTTTTGTTTCCCTCTTCCAAACAGGTAACCACTTTTGTTACTTATGTATCATTCTAGAGTTTCTCTACTTAAATATTTAAAATGACAAATCAGTTTTCTTTTTCTTTTTTTTTTTTTTTTGAGATGGAGTCTCTCTGTGTTGCCCAGGCTGGAGTGCAGTGGTGCGATCTTGGCTCACTTCAATCTCTGCCTCCCTGATTCAAGTGATTCCCCTGCCTCAGCCTCCTGCGTAGCTGGGACTACAGGCATACACCACCATGCCTGGCTAATTTTTTGTATTTTTTTTTTTTTTTTTTTAGTAGAGATGGGGTTTCACCATGTTGGCTGGGATGGTCTCGATCTCTTGACCTCATGATTCACCAACCTCAGCCTCCCAAAGTGCTGGGATTACAGGCATGAGCCACTGTGCCTAGCTGACAAATATATTTTATTTCTTCCCTGTTTCTCATCTAAAAGGTAGCATACTAACACACAGTTTTTAAAAACTTGTACTTATATTGGAAATCATTCTATTTTGGTAATTAGAGATTGCCCTTATTTTTCTTTTTTCTTCTTCTTCTTTTTTTTTTTTTTTTGAGACAGAGTGTTGCTCTGTCACCCAGGCTAGAGTGCAGTGACACAATCTCAGCTTGCTGCTGCCTTGACTTCCCATGCTCAAGCGATTTTTCTCCCTCCTTAGTCCCCCAAATAGCTGGTACTACAGGTGCACGCCACCACGCCCAGCTAATTTTTGTGTTTTTTATAGAGACAGGGTTTTGTCATGTTGCTTAAGCTGATCTTGAACTCCTGGACTCAAGCAATCGTCCGCCTCAGCCTCCCAAAGTGCTGGAATTACAAGTGTGAGCCACTGCACCTGCCCTCTCATTCTTTTTTAAATAGCTGTAATTTTGTTTTAGCCAGTTCAGTATCAAAGGGCATTTATTTGGACTGGTTCCACTTTTTTTTTTTTTTTTTTGAAGCTAACTTATTTTGGCTGGCCATGGTGGTTTAAGCCTGTAATCCCAACATTTTGGGAGGCTTAGGTGGGCAGATCACCTGAGGTTGGGAATTTGAGACCAGCCTGACGAACATGGAGACACCCTGTCTCTACGAAAAATACAAAATTAGCCAGGTGTGGTAAAACACACCTGTGATCCCAGCTACTCGGGAGGCTGAGGCAGGAAGCATCCCTTGAACCTGGGAGGTGGAGGTTGTGGTCAGCCGAGATCGTGCCACTGCACTCCAGCTTGGGCAACAAGAGCAAAAGTCCCTCTCTCTCACACACACAAAAAGTTGACTTATTCCCCGACAGACTTTTCTTCAACTCAGCCTGACTTCAACTCTCCAGCTACACCTGTTACCTTGAGTATGAGAATTTTCATGTTCTTTTTAAATACCAATGCATTTACATTTACATGTTTATTATGGCACCTAGTAAGGACCTAATGAGCACATGGCCAGTAAATGAATAACACCATCCCAGTTTTAATCTGTATTTCTTAAGTGTTACATACTCTTTGTATACCTAGAAATAAATACAAGATTCCTGTTTGCTTGCCATTGTTAGCTTTTATTTGAATGTCTTTTTTGTGTATTTCCAACAAGATTGTGTGATACTAGAGAATTGGCCTCAGATCCTCAAAATTGGGTGTTCTGCATGTGGGAAATGTTGGGCATTGACTCTGTATAAATATCTGTGTGTTTGTCTTTGTACACATAGCTCTTAAACTGGAATTTGAGAACTACTCTACCCGCCCCCTTTCCTTTCTCCAGAACTATCACTGGTTCTTTTTGACAGAACTTCCAGGCAATCTTTCATGAGTAAATTGTACATTTCTCCCTTTTCATTCCTCCCTTTTCCCCATGCATTCATTCTTCCATTCAGTGATTCAATGCCCAGTATGTGCCAGGCACAAGGACTATATGGAGTGTATAATGCCAGATACAGCTCTCCTTATTTATAGAATTTATATTCTAGTAGGGAATACAGATTTTAAACAAATAATTATGAAAATAATTGATGACGTTTGTAAAAGTTTTCCAGTCACAGTTGATTATTTCTTTTATTCTCTACATCAGCAATATTTGGGGGCATAAATTGAAAGTCATCCCTGAGCTATTGAAATGGTGGATACACATACTTGTTCCAAACCAGCATGTGCAAATTAATACGTAAATAAGTAAATAAGTAACTTAGTGTATAAATGAGCAAATACAGTGATGTTTCAGATCAATGGCTTGATTGAAGCTAGAACCTGTTTTAATCTGTAAACCAAAAAATGTGACTTGAGGTGTAATGCTATCTTTAATTATAGTCTCTCTGATGGTTCCATTACCTAAAGTTCTTGGGGTTTAATACTTCTGGGTATATCTGCTGACCCTCACTCTTGGTGGGTTATTTCCTTGGTGTTTGGTTATTTTGGACTGTGAGCACTCATCTTCAGCAGACTTTATCTGAGGGACCTTGTGCAGCTGGGTTGAGGTGAAGTCTCTACAGAGGTTTTTGCATTAGCTTTCTGCCAGGTCTCCTGGGATGATCCCGTTTGGAAACACTTTTTATGTAAATTTCTCCTCATGGAGTTTCACAAATCACTCAGGGAAAATAAACTGAACCCTAGATCAGTGGGAGGAGCAGCTCCCTGGTCAGAGAATATATATATATTTTTTTTTCTGAGACGGTCTCGCCCTGTCGTCCAGGCTGGGTGATATGATCTCAGCTCACTGCAACCTCCGCCTACCTGGGCTCAAGCGATTATCCTGCCTCAGCCTTCTGAGTAGCTGGGACTATAGGTGTACGCCACCATATCCTGCTATTTTTGTATTTTTAGTAGAGACGGGGTTTCATCATGTTGGTCAGGCTGGTCTTGATCTCTTGACCTCATGATTCGCCCACCTTGGCCTCCCAAAATGTTAGGATTAATGTTAGGATTACAGGCATGAGCTACCTCACGCGGCCGGGAGATTTTTTTTTTTAACCCCTCTATTTGGAATGCATAGCAGAAAAGTCAGGCATCCATGTGTTCACTATGTGCTGGTGGATGGACATTTTTCTAGACCATTTTCCTGTGTCTGTAACCTTTTTCGGGTCTTGGATTTGTGGTGATCTCAGTTCAACTTCCCCGCCTCAGCCTTAGATGGCCCAAGACTTCATTTTTCTGTCCCTACATGAGCTCTCAAACCTGCAAGTGCTCAAACTGCTTATTACTGATCTTTAATGATATAGGCACAGAAATTGTGAGTATCTGGAAATGAACAGCAGTTTGATATTCCATGATATCTAAGTGTGGGATCATTGTGCTCGTATTTCGTCATTGTTTTTCTTTTCCTTTCGGGCCAGCCCTAGATGACAGGAGTAGCAGCTCTGATGTCAGGGCAGCCATACGTCAGTCCCAGGCTGGCTGTTCCAGCTCTTGTTCCCTTCTCACTTTTGGGCCCTAGGGATCTTCCTTACTTTCATGCAGACTTAGCTATATATTTAAAAGAATGTGTGTTATCTATTACTTAGCATTCCTAAGTGTTGTTTTAAAGAGGTGCTTCAAGTGCTATTATGCCCTTGGCAGAAATAGAGATGCTCTTCTGTTTTCATGTTGACTTTTGAAATCATTTTAACATGGATTATTTTTCCTCAAAGGACTTGGAACAGTCAGCTAAAGAGCAAGACAAAGAGTCAGAGAAACAACTTCTACTCCAGGAAGTGGAGAATCACAAAAAGCAGATGCTCAGGTAGGCAGGGCCTGCTCCCGCCAGTGGCCTCTGCTGGCTCACTTGTTCCCTATGAGCCTTGCACGTGTGTTTGCCTGATTAATCTGGTTTAATGCTGACTTAATTGTGTCTTTTTTTTTTTTTTTTTTTTTTGAGATAGGGTCTTGCACTATTACCCAGGCTGGAGTGCAGTGGCGTGATCTCTGCTCACTGCCACCTCTGCCTCCTGGGTTCAAGCAATTCTTCTACCTCAGCCTCCTGAGTAGCTGGGATTACAGATGTGTGCCACCACACCTGGAGTTTCTCTGTGTTGGCCAGGCTGATCTCTTAACTCCTGGCCTCATGTGATTCACCCACCTTGGCCTCCCAAGGTGCTGGGATAACAGGCGTGAGCCACCATGCTCAGCCAATTGTCAGTTACATACAGGTGGAATGTTCTCTCCCAATCAATAATTCTCATTGTTGATTGGGAGAGAACATTCCACCAATACGGGCGAGTGGGGAAGGGATAAATAGGGCCCATCTGAGCAGGTGGAGCTGTGCATAGTTTACAAAAGCATATTTAACATTATGCTGTGTTGTATATTTTTAAGCAAAAAATATGACTGCTTTTATAATGTAGGGTCATTTTTTATCTAAAGATAATTGGCAACAGAAAAAATCTACAAAAAGAAGACCTACTTAAGGTGGACCAAAATTTAGAAGGTTTTGAGTGGGGTGATATCTAAGAAAAAAATGCAACAAAAACCGTAAGTTAAACAAAATTGAAGTCAAAAAATAAAACCGAAATTGAGGTTATAATTGCAGGTGTGTGTTAATCCTTGATTATATAATTATAGCTATGTGCTATTTCTTGTTATTGAATGGGGAGAGGTTTAACTTTTCCAATGAAATTGTCAGACATGAAACAGTACCTTTCCCTTCACATTTGACTTTTGTACCAATCATAAAGAGGATTTTTCCAAACATATTTGAGGTATTCAGATCATTCTCCCTCTTTCTTAAAAATTTATTTTTGGCCGGGTGTGGTGGCTCATGCCTGTAATCTCAGCACTTTGGGAGGCCGAGGTGGGTGGATCAGCTGAGGTCAGGAGTTCGAGACCAGCCTGACCAACAAGGTAAAATGCTGTCTCTACTAAAAATACAAAAATTGGCTGGGTCTGGTGGTGGGCACCTGTAATCCCAACTACTTGAGAGGCTGAGGTGGGAGAATGACTTGAACTTGGGAGGTGGAGGTTGCAGGGAGCCGAGAGTGCACCCCTGCACTGCAGCCTGGGCAACAGAGTGAGACTCCATCTTAAAAAAATAGATTTTTTTTATTTTTTAAAAATTAAAAAAATTTGGCGGGTTGTGGTGGCTCACGCCTGTAATCCCAGCACTTTGGGAGGCTGAGGTGGGCAGATCACAAGGTCAGGAGTTTGAGACTATCCTGGCTAACACAGTAAAACCCTATCTCTATTAGAAACTACAAAAATGAGCTGGGCATGGTGGCGGGCGCCTGTAATCCCAGATACTATGGAGACTGAGGCAGGAGAATCGCTTGAACCTGGGAGGCAGAGGCTGCCACAGTGAGCTGAGATTGCACCATTGCACTCCAGCCTGGCAACAGAGTGAGACTCTGTCTCCAAAAAAAATTAAAAATTTTAGAAATGAGGTCCCACTCTGTTGCCCAGTCTGGACAGTCATAGCTTAATGCAGCCTTGAACTCCTGGATTCACGTGATTTGCTCACCTCAGCTTCCAAAGTAGTTGGCATGCTCCACTGTGCCTGGCTAGATCATTCTCTTTTGAAGCTCCTGCTAAGTCATCATTCCCATGGGTTTTCTCTTTATCTCTTGTTCAGGGTTCTGCTTCTGCCAGATCTGTATTTGCGGCTTTGCTTCTGATTTGAGCAATTTGCCAGCATCATCTTCCTTGAAAGCAGCTGCGTATGTAACAGTCAGCTGTCAGGAAGACACTAACCGGCAAAAACACAAGCATAGGGAGGCCCGTGTAAGCAGGGAGGGCTGTATGAGTGGCAGGCAGTGATCCAGGGCTTGGCTCTTTTGCGATTACTTTATGTGATGATGGCTTTGGCTTTCCTGAGCCACCAAGCCTACTCAGATTATAAACACTGAGTACAGAGGAGCCCTTGTATAAAGTATAGTAAGTTATGCCAGACACACTCAGCTTAGCATGGGTTTAAAGCAGGGAATGGCCATCCACGATGTGGCGTTACAGACCAGAGCAGAGAAAGCAGTCAATTTATACTTTGGGGCCAGGTGCAGTAGGTCACACCTGTAATCCCAGCACTTTGGGGGCTGAAACAGGAGGACTGCTTGAGCCCAGGAGCTTAAGACCAGCCTGAGCAACAAAGCAAGACCCCATCTATTTCAAAAAAAGAAAAATTAGCTCTGGGAGTGGTAGTGTGTGCCTGTAGTCTCAACTACTTGGGAGGCCAAGGCAGGAGGGCAGTGGGCTTGGTTGAGGCTGCAGTGAGCCGTGATCATGCTACTGTACTTTAGCGTAGGAGACAGAGTGAGACCCTGTCTCAAAAAAAACACAAAAAACAAAAAACAAAACTTTGGCGGTTGAAACAGTAGTTGTGCTTGCTTGGGTCATCATGCTTGTCACATAATACAGCGAGTATCTGTTTGCTTGTCTTTTTCTTAAATGAGTGAATGAATGTGGCCTTTGAGGAGAAGTATGGCCTCTCAGTCATCTCTGAATCCCAGGCCCTGCAGAACTCTGGAGAACTCCCTTGCAAACTGTTTCAGGATGTAATGGAGTCTTTCAAAGTGGCAGGTGTGAAATGGCAGAGCGGGTGCTCATTAAGACCTTCAGCATAAAGGTGCTATTAGAAAACCACCCTGTCAGTTGTCAGTTCATGTACTCTGTGTTTTGATTTTTTAGTGTTTCCAGGGATTCGCACAATTGGTTTGAGCTGGCTACGTTAAGAATTCTGAAGTATGAGTTTGATTCTTAGAGGGACTCAGCTTTTTTGTAGTCTATTGACAACTGTCACATTTCTTTTTTTTTTTCTTTGAGACGGATTCTGACTCTTGTTGCCCTGGCTGGAGTGCAGTAGTGCAATCCTGGCTCACTGCAACCTCCGCCTTCCGGGTTCAAGCGATTCTCCTGCCTCAGACTCCTGAGTAGCTGGGATTATAGGCAGCCACCACCATGCCCGGCTAAGTTTTGTATTTTTAGTAGAGATAGGGTTTTACCATGTTGACCAGCCTGGTCTAGAACTCCTGACTTCAGGTGATCCACCTGCCTTGGCCTCCCAAAGTGCTGGGATTACAGCTGTAAGCCACCACACCCATCTGTCACATTTCTAACCCCAGAAAGCTGTTCACCAAATTTGTGTTATCACCCACTAGGGAGCGCAGATGAAGAATGTAGATCAGCCATAGCAATCAGGGCTCTGCTTATCTACCATGTTTGTGTCATTCATGTCTGTAGTATGGAAGGAACAATAAACCTTGAAGAAATATTTTGAAAGATTGGCTTTTTGTGATTTTTTTTTTTTTAATCTTGAGACAACGTCTTACTCTGTCACCTGCGCTGGAATGTAGTGGTACCATCATGTCTCACTGCAACCTCCACTTCCCAGGCTCAGGTGATCTTTTCTCCTCTGCCTCTTATGTAGCTGGGACTATAGGCCTGTGCCACCACCATGCCTGGCTAATTTTTGTATTTTTAGTAGAGACGGGGTTTCTCCATGTTGCTCAGGGTGGTCTTGAACTCATGGGCTCAAGCGATCCACCCACCTCAGCCTCCCAAAGTGCGTTAATTATGGGCGTGAGCCACTGTGCCTGGCCATGAGTTTTTATTTTCTACAATATATATGAACTCAGCGGCTGAAGGGCCAGAAATGGTTGTTCAAGGTACTGGAGATGAGTAAGTCATGGTTTTCAAGGGATGGTACGAACGAATACACAGGCTATAGCTGTACAGCCTTAGAAGCAACTGGGCAAAAGAGGGACCTATGTGCCCAGTTGGAGAGTTGGTATGCCTCCCTGAAGTCCAGCCACTGTGGAGCTGTGCACAGAGGAGTACCATGTTCACAGCCCCTTGGGATGACAGATGCAGCGGGACAGCTATAGAGCCTCCCTGTGGTGGCCTCCAGGGTCTGGTTGAGGGTTATCAGGACCTGAACAAGAACAGGTGCTGGGGACCAGGAGGAGGAAATGGCAGGAAGTAGGATGGGCTCTGAAGGCCATGCCTGGATGGCCTTTCCCCACACTCCTTTGTTGGTGGGAACTGCTGTGAACTGAATTGACTTACGGCCTGGTGGAGTAGACACACTCACATGTGAACCTTCTCATTCCAGCAATCAGACGTCATGGAGGAAAGCTAACCTTACCTGCAAAATTGCAATCGACAATCTAGAGAAAGCAGAACTTCTTCAGGGGGGAGATCTCTTAAGGCAAAGGTACCTGTTCTTTTGTTTTTCTGGGCTCTCATAATAAAATAGGTAACAACTAGCAAGGTGTCAAATCCATTGTAGGGAATCCCTTCTTGTTTTCAGCTTGGTGTTTAATTTTATTATATAAGTAATGTTTTAAAGGTTGAAAGAAATGCATACTTATTTGTAGTAAATTGGTAAAATAAAGTATGAATTACAAAATGAAAATATCGAAGAGACAAAGTCTCGCTCTGTGGCCCAGGCTGGAGTGTAGTGGCTCATCTTGGCTCACCACAACCTAACCTCCACCTTCTAGGTTCAAGTGATTCTCCTGCCTCAGTTTCCCTAGTAGCTGAGATTACAGGGTTGTGCCACTGCACCGGCTAATTTTTTGTATTTTTATTAGAGATGGGGTTTTACCATGTTGGCCAGGCTGGTCTTGAACTCCTGACCTCAGGTGATCCTCCCGCCTCAGCCTCCCGAAGTGCTAGGATTATAGGCATGAGCCACCGGACCCAGCTGAAAATATGGAATCTTATTACTCATGAGCATTTTGGTATATTCTCTTCTCTCATTTTTTCTTCTACATTTCTTACAAAGTCACAATTGTACCATACATAAAATTTTATATTCTGCTGTTTCAGCACAAAACTTGCTCATTAAAAAAAAAAAAAGAAAATTTTTAAAGCCTAATTCTAACAGTACATAGTACGTAGATTGTATGTTAATACTATCCCCTATGTGTGTTTGCATTCCTAGTGTTTTGGTGTTGTAAGTAATACACCAGAGCATGTCTTAGAACATAAGGCTTTATCTGCATTTTGGATGTTTCCTGTGGAGGGATTTTCAGGGGTGAGATGATTGACTCAAAGGAATGAACATTTCTAAGGCTCCTACATTGGCAGATTGCTTTACAGAAGGCAGCACCGGTTTCTGTTCCTACTAGCAGTCCATAGGGGTGTGGGTCTCAGCATACCCTTGCTAGCACTGAATGTGATCACTTAAAATATATATACTAATTGGGTAGGCAAAAAGTGAGATTTCATTTGGATATGGGGCCTTCTTGAAGGGAGACTTTTGTTGCCATTCTTCCTCTTTCTCTTCCTTTGAACTTTCAGGAAAACTACCAAAGAGAGCCTGGCCCAGACATCCAGTGCCATCACTGAGAGCCTCATGGGGATCAGCAGGATGATGGCCCAGCAGGTCCAGCAGAGCGAGGAGGCCATGCAGTCTCTAGGTAAAGCTGAGCCCGGAGTAGGAAGCTTCTCCCAGAGATGCTGCTCTAGTGCCCTTGCCCTGGCACCTCCACCCTGGGCTCCTCCACCACGGCCCACACGAAGTTCACTGACTTGGGGGGCTTCTTCCTCCTGAGATGACTTGACACCTTGGTCTTATCCATAGTGGGGATATGCTGCTCTTATTTCTCTTTACTAGAAGACCCCACACCCCCATCAGTGTTTCCCCAGGGCGGGCATTCCCAGGGGCTCAAGTGAAAAGCAGAGGTCCCCAGGCCCTTTCCTAGAGAAGGCGTTGGCAGAGCTGGGTAAGGGGCCTGGGAATCTCATTTTCAGCAAGGGCTCTGGGTACCCATATGGCCAGGCAAATTTGGGAATCGTTGCTCCACGGGATGTTTGGTGAATTGGCTGATGGTAAGACTGCTAGGACCTTAGTTTACAATTATACTCCCCAACGTTATTTTTCCTATGAGTTCTTTTTAAAAGATGAGAGTCAGAGGCTGCAGGAGAGACTGCTTGAGACCCTCTGGTTCCCTCCAATAGTTTTCCCAGAGTGTCTCCTCTGTGACACAGAAAAGCACCAGCCCTCTCCAGGGTCCTTCAGTATGAGACAACAGAAAAAGAGGGTTTACTCTTTGAAACACTTCTGGAACATTGCACACATGGACAAAAGTAGAAAGCATGGTATCCTGAATCCCCTGAGCCCTGAGTCCTGAGCCCATTACCCCAGCCAGACTCCTTTCAATTCTGCCCTCAGCCCATCCCCTATCTGGATTATTTTGAAGCAAATCCCAGACATTGTCCATAAATATCTCAGTACATCTCTCTAGAAGATACGGGACTCTGGGGAAAAAGCAGAAACAACCCCAGAACCACAATACCATTATCACCTCTAGAAATTATCTTTAATTTTGAACCACTCGTTTTCAGTGCAGCAAACAGGCAGAAGCAAAAGGAGAGCAAGCAGGCGATCCCATGGTCACTCTCTGTTTACAACTTACCTGAACATTTCAGCTCAGAACCAGCCAGCGGCCTTCTCTCAGTGTGTCCTGTGGGTGAGGCATTGGAGAGCGAGGGAGCAGAGAGACAACTCAGCCTCTGAGTCCAGGGCGTTTATGCTCTGGTGTGGTGAGAGGATGCCCGCCCTGCTAACAGTGGGAAGGAGACACTGCCCTGCTGGTGGTTTCTGGGGTGTTGAGAGGGTCCAGTGTTCTTGGGGCCCATTTTGTGGAAGTGATAGCTATTGAAAAAAAGAGAAGAATACAACGACTGAAAAAAAGAGAAGAATACAGAAGAATAACCCCCTCCTTATGCCTCATAAATTCAGCTTGATTTAAAAAGCCTATTAGGACCATAATTTTGAAACAGAAATCTTATTAGGAGTATGGCGTTTGGACTTTGCAGCACAGTTGTAGGAGTAGGGGAGGTGGGGTGAGGGTGAACAGGATTTCAGAGGTTGGTGGTTCTTGGTTATGGGTGGTAGACACATGACATTTCATGGTACTATGCTGTCTGCTTTGTGATGGTTCAAAATTCTCCATAATAGTAAAGTTTATGAAAAAAGACCTGTGAGGTTTTTACTTAGCACGTTCTTAGGGTTTTGACATGGCAGCAGGCAGGCGTGGAGAAAGAGAGTGGAGAGGGATTCCTGTTCTGTGCGCGTTTGTTTTTCTCCTTTTATCCGTCACTTTCAAAAAGGTGCTGTGTTTCCTCTGATAATGTATCTTATTTACTTAGTAGCTTTTAATTTGTGAAAAGGTAACACATACAACATAGAGAAGGATAAAAAGCTCGAGCCCAGCACTGCCAGTAGAAACGTAACAGGAGCCACGTATGTTAACTTTAAATTTCCTAGTAGGCACATTTTAAAAAGTAAAAAGAAACGTAAGAAATTAATTTTAATAAGAGTTTATTTAGCTCATTATGTAAACTATTACAGTTTCAGTGTACAACTAATATTACCAATTATTGAGATATTTTAGCTTCCTTTTTTCATATTAAGTCTTTGAAACATTGTGTGGATTTGGCCAGGCAAGGTGGCTCATGCCTGAAATCCCAGCACTTTGGGAGGCTGAGGTGGGTGGATCACTTGAGGTCAGGAGTTTGAGACCAGCCTGGCCAACATGGTGAAAACCCTGTCTGTACTAAAAAATCCAAAAAAAAAAAAAAAAAAAAAAAGTCAGGCATGGTGGCACGTGCCTGTAATCCCTACTCAGGAGGCTGAGGCAGGAGAATCATTTGAACCCAGGAGGTGGAGGTTGCGATGAGCCAAGATCACGCCACTGCACTCCACCCTAGGTGACAGAGGGAGATTCTGTCTCAAAACCAGAAACGTTGTGTGGATTTGACTGTCACTGATATATCCATTTGCATTTGTCATGTTTTATATGCACAAGAGCCTCACATGTCTAGGGGCTGCCATATTGGCCAGCACAGTTCTGGACAGTACAAGAGGGACACAAAAGCTGACCCCACCTGCCAGCACTCTGGTCCACTTCCCAGAGGCAACCACTGTTACCAGTGTCTTTTAAAAAAATATCTTGTGATCCTCCAAGCTTCTGTAACTTAAGAAAATGAAATACTATTTATCTCCCTGTTTCTTACCTAAATGGATACACTTCACAGGCTTTCCCTTTTCACTGAATGTATTTTATTCGACAGCTGTTCTCACTATGTTTTAAGGAAGAACCTCGCCAGGTACACCTTCTACCCTCAACATCAGGCCCAAATACCCATGCTCAGAAATACATCTGACTCTAGACACAACAATCCCTTAAGGGATATGGGCCTCTTCTTAGGTGTCACCTTGTTAAAGCTACAGCCAGTGTCCCTGGCCTGAGGGACTGGTATGTGTGAGGGCTTGTGGCAGAGCCCAGTGCACCCGTGCCCTTTTGAGATCCTGCAAAGAGCCGGTCTGGTCAGCACATGTCCTGGAGGGCACATCTCAGGTGGAAGGTTCTGGTGTCTTCAGCTGTTGCCCCAACACAGAGCTCACAGTGCCCGCCCACGATCCCTGGGTTGGTTTTGTGGCTGGTGGTTCTGAGCAGCGTGTGTCTTGGTTCAGAGAGCTGAACGGGTGGCCGGGTAAGCAAGCCTCTTCTGCCCTTCTCCCTAGTGACATTCATGTTCGGGACCCCCAAACAAACCGCCTCACTCTCTAGAGCTGATGGGACCTGAGGATGAGCCTTTCCTTGTCGGCATCTTGACTGGTCTCCACATGCTTTGATTCCAGCTCAGAGGAACTCACTTGAGAATGCCTGTTTTTATCAGCACCCCAGCCAGCAGACTGAGGTCTTTGGATCTCAAGCTGCAGTCTCTGAGTGGGACCCCCTCCCTCTTTTGTTCCAGTCACTTCTTCACGAACGATCCTGGATGCAAATGAAGAATTTAAGTCCATGTCGGGGACCATCCAGCTGGGTCGGAAGCTTATCACAAAATACAATCGCCGGGAGCTGACAGACAAACTTCTCATCTTCCTTGCTCTGGCCCTGTTTCTTGCTACGGTCCTCTATATCGTGAAAAAGCGACTGTTTCCGTTTTTGTGAGACCCCAAAGGTGCCAGTTCTGGCCTTTCAACTCCTGTATCAGGATCTGTCCTAGTTCCTGAGCTCTAGGCTGCCAAGCTGAGCCACACACCCCTCTGTCTGCGCCAGTTGCCTGCAGATTGGATGGAACACAGTGCCCCACTTTTCTGCAAGTGGCTGGCTTGTAAAGGGTGAACAGAGCCTTGGGAGGCAGGCCTGTGACTGGGATGCCGCCTTGGGGACATAGGAACTGCCTCCCTCCCGCATTGTGCACTATGGGGGGCCACCGCTTGGAGCACTTAAAAGTCCAGCCTCCAGGACCTGATGCCCCTCCTGTCTCCCTCTCCCACTGTACCCTTAAATGCTAGATCTGGTGGAGGGAAGAGAGAAGAGGTAGGGAGAAATGTGATGAAAACTCCTGGTCATTCCTTGAATAAACTTGACTTTATTTAATAGAATAAAATGTATTTGATTTTATAAGATGGCGCTCTGGGAATGTGTGTTCCTCTTTTCCGTTTTTTTTTTTTTTGAGCTGGAGCTTTGCTCTGTCACCGAGGCAGGAATGCAGTGGTGTGATACTGGCTCACGGTAGCCTCCACTTCCTGGGTTCAAGAGATTCTCTTGTCTCAACCTCAAGTCGCTGGGATTACAGGCGTGCACCACCACACCTGGCTAATTTTTTGTATTTTTTTTAGTAGAGACAGAATTTCTCCATGTTGGCCAGGCTGGTCTTGGAACACCCAACCTCAGGTCATCCACCCGCCTCTGCCTCCTAAAGTGCTGAGATTATAGCCACTATGCCCGGCCCTCTTTTTTGATGTCCAGATTTTTAGGACATGAACTTTGATTGATTGATTTATTCATTCATTCAACAAAGAATTATTTTCTTTCTGTTCCCAACCAATAACAAGGAACTATTAAACAGCTGCCATGCACAGGGTGTTTTAGACATTGCTGAACATTGCAAATACATTGGTAAACCAGACAGGGTTCCTCCCTCAAGGAGGAACAGAAGGAAGCATGGAAATAAAATCTCACAGACTGTCAGGAAGGAAGGTCCAACAGCCTCTGTTCAACCAGGTGTGGTGGGGATGCCTCTAATCCTAGCATTTTGGGAGGCTGAGGTAGGATGATCACTTGAGCCCAGGAGTTCGAGAACAGCTGGGCAACATAGCAAGACCCCATCTGTGTTTTTAAAAAAACAGAAATGGAACAGAAAACAGCCCATGTTGGAAGTGGCTCATACCAACATCTGAAGAGGATGAGCGATGCCTTTCTCTGCCATAGCAGCTTGGCCAGGCCTGGGGGCATGCAGTGATTTGGGCTGGCACATGCCTTTCTGATGTCCAGAGCTAAGTATAACTAAGGAGGGAGAAGCTAGTGAGAAGCTGAGACCATGTGAGCCTGAGTTCTGTCCAGGCCAGAGGAAGAAGGCCCAGGGTAGGCCAGCATTGGAGGTGCTGAGTCTCCTTGTGCTACAGGCCTGGCTGACCTCGAGTTTGAAATCCCAGTCTCTCCCACTATTTATAGCCCCAGAGGACCTGGGAGGGGCAGTGTGGAGGCTGAAGGGAAAGTGGGAAGAATATAGACTTTGACCCTTGGCTCAAACACTTGCTTTTGAGATTTGGCTCCACTGCTAGTGGACCACAGGACCATTGGCAAGTTCCCTTATGTTGCTAAGCCTCAGTTTTCCCATATGTAAAATGGAGGTGATAATCCATATGGGTCCTTATAGAGTTAACTTGAGAATCCAGAGACAATATGAAGCAGCAAGTGTAGCTGTCTTCAGACCAGGCCTGCCATGGCCTTTTAAATTGCTGCCACCCCAGGGCTCTGGGCGCTGAGGTTTCCTGCCGCTGGCAGCAGAGGTGTTTCAGGAGAAGTTGGGCCAGGCACCAGCAGTTCTGTTGGAGGTGTTTGAGCAGAGGATGTCAAGAGTGAAGGCCTCAGTTATAAAGTGGCAGATCATCATGGGACCAAGTTGTAAAAAACTAGCTGCACGTCTCAGACGAGCTTAACGGGTAGATTCCAAGTTGGATCTAAGTATAGACCCACACTGTGCGTGCGTGCGCGCGCGCACACACACACACACACACACACACACACATACACTTTGTAGGCTGTATATCATCCTTAAACAATTCCTGGCCCCAAAAGACACTCAGAGCAGATTGTGCACACATGTGTCTTATTTATAGTTAAATTAAAGCTGAGAATAAAGCACAGATGGGAAATTCCCACTCAGATTCCAGCTGTAAGTGCAGCAGATGGATGTTATCAAGTTAGGATTTTCTTGTCTTAACATTTTTCTTTACTGCTTCCCACTAATTGTCAACATCCTCCTCACAACATGGAATTGCGTGGGCTCTGTATGCCCTAAAAATGCTCCCTTTGACGCTTTATTCCTCTTTTACTTGCCTCCTTCTGAAAATAGAGTCAAATGTGACCCATTTTGAAATGTCATTGATAACAGCTTTCAACCTCCAGCAGCCACCAGGGTTAATCCTTCCCCAAAGCAGAACACGGCCCTCTCCATGCTCAACCATGAGAGGGCAGTGTCCACATTTGCTCTACAGTCTTGCAGCAGGTGTGGTCATCTTCATCAGTCCATTTGAAATGCTCTTATGGAGATACACACACACACACACACACACACACACACACACTGCATGTGTACGTAAGCATATTTATATGTAGGTTTCAGATTTTTAAAAACAAATGTATGAAGCTTATGTATATTTTGTTTTTGGAATATGTTTCCTAAGTGGTCTTAATTTTCACTGTTAAACAGTAATGCACGCTCAGATGCTACTTTACTTTTATTTTGACAGGGTCTTGCTCTGTTGCCCAGGTTCTAGTGCAGTGGTGTGATAATGGCTCACTGCAACCTCTGCCTCCAAGGCTCAAGCAATTTACGAACCTCAGCCTCCCAAGTAGCTGGGACGACAGGTGTGCACCACCACGCCTGGCTAGATTTTGCTTATTTTTTGTAGAGATGAATCCTCACTTTGTTGCTCAGGCTGGTCTCAAACTCCAGGGCTCAAGCAATCCTTCCGCCTCAGCCTCCCAAAGTTCTGGGATTACAGGCATGAGCCACTGTGCCTGGCTTTACTGTTACATTTTGATTAGCAGACAGTCAAGGAATTAAAGGTACGGAGCAGCCTCTGTGAGGCTTCCACACAGAGGTAGCAGCTAGAGTCAGGCAGGGGCATACTGGCACATCCGAGGAGGGCAAGCAAGGCCACATGGCAAGAGCTGAGTGTAGGGCCTCAGTGACCTCAGGCTGCCTACCTGGAGGCCACCTCCTGCCCCTACCCACCCTTTTCTTACCTCTCACAGTCATTGGCCCTGTTGGGCACTGGTTCTTCCAGAAAGCTCCCGGCTATGTGGTGCCATATTGTCTTGGTTTCCCTCTTAACCTCTCAAGCAACTCCCCTCCTATTCAGGCTTAAATGTCTCACATCATGTTCCCTTTGTATCAAAGGCAAGGTCGTCCATGTCCCTACAGCTTTGACCATATC